CAGCATGGCCTGATAAGCGGTGCGTCGGTGGCGCCTGGGATCCAAACCCCGGGCCGCCGCAGCAGAGCGTGTGCACTTAACTGCTACACCACCAGGCCGGCCCCAAGAACATACCTTTTTTAAGAAAAAAAATTTGTGTGACCACCATACTTGCTTTCTGGCAGCAACCATGGTATTGCCCCAGTTTGGAGGATGAGCTGTGGCAGCTTTTCCAGGGAAACTCCTGCTTTCAAGTGCTCTGTTCAAAGTTTAGGCCTAGTGTCACGACAGTGTGTCTTTCTGATTCAGAAGATATCATTATAGCAGCTCTGGGGCCCTGTCAGGCTCAGATGTTTCCCGGGGTGAGAGAACCTGGAAGTGGCACTTGAGTGAGGTAGTTGTTAGCCCTGTCTATAAGCCAATGGCAACGTGCACATCCTAATATTTCTGCATGTTTGCTGTCTGAGTTTTTCATGCTGCCCCTAGAAATGATAGGGGCTTTATACTTTTACTTCTTTCAGATTTCAGTAAATAATGGATCAGATTAAAGCAAAATGATTCTTTCATATACACCTTCAAGCATGTTTGGGTTCTACTTTTTAAAGATGCTCTGAGAATATCATGATTTCTTGATAAACTCTACCTTTATCTGAATTCTAACCTGCTGCAAGCTGTGGAAACAATAATCTCAAGGTTGATGCTTCCCAACATGCCGGCTGAAAAGCATGGCAACTCCTAATCAAGGACCCCAGCTGCTTGTCTCACGGTTCATAGCACAAAATTTTAAAAGAAAGACTTTTCTTTCAGCTTTGCACATTCTTGTTTCCGTATTTGCTCTTCTACATCCACTTCCTGACTTAAGTTTTCCTGACTTTTCACTGGAATGAATACCATGTTGGTATGTGTATTTGTCCTCGTTGATTATGTCTCTTTCAACTTCACTCTGCTGTTTTTTCATTCGTTGGAGAATGGCCTTGATTTTATAACAGCAAGAATCATCACAATAATGATACCATTATTAGCATCTGTACTTCTTAGTCAAGCATTTTGCCCCCGCTGCTTTCCATGATCCTGTAGACGACTTGGACGGTATTGTTACGTTTCAGTACAGCAAGAAATACTCAGCAGAGTTGGGATAGGAAGCCCACTTATAGGGGAATAAAATAGGTGAAAGGTGAGCTTGAGATATTTTAAAGGACAGTTGATAATAGAAAGTTCACTGGACAAAAAATTGGCAGACCTGGTTTCTCATCCAGAGGCTACTGCTCACTGTATAGCCTTTAACAAGGCTCCCGCAGGTGTCTGCCCCCGCCTCTCTGACTCCCATTGGCTGTATTTGTATAGGCTCTGCCCCCACGATTGTTAATTCTGGGATATGGGGGCCGGCCCCGTTTAGCGTTTAAGTGCACACGCTCCGCTACTGGTGGCCCGGGTTCGGACCCTGGGCACGCACCGACGCACCACTTCTCTGGCCATGCTGAGGCCGCATCCCAAATACAGCAACTAGAAGGATGTGCAACTACGACATACAACTATCTACTGGGGCTTTGGGGAAGGAAAAAAAAGGAGGAGGATTGGCAATAGATGTTAGCTCAGAGCCGGTCTTCCTCAGCAAAAAGAGGAGGATTAGCACGGATGTTAGCTCAGGGCTGATCTCCCTCACAAAAAAAAAAAAAAAAAAAAAATTCTGGGATATGGGCCTAGCTATATGGCTTTGGATTATATTAAATGATAGCTGACGTCTTTCAACCCCTAAAATACCATGATCTTATGAACTCTTCCCTTTACTCTCACATTTTGAGTTTGAAATCAAGTCAACTGATTAGTAAATTGAGTTGATTGAATTTTTGCCGTGACATAAATATAATCTATGAGTAGGAGATGACAGTTTAGGAGACAGCCGGTGTCTTCCCTCAGTTCATCAGATAAACACTCTAATTGGATGACAGAGCTCAGTTTTAAAGTACCCTGAGCTCAGATGTCAGCTAGCCAAGGAGTAATGCTAATACTGTTGATCTAGTTCTCAGCAGTTAGGGCCCTAATGAGATGAGGACCAAGGGCTTCTGGGATAGCACCAGAGAGGAGTAGAGAAGCTTCTTTGGGGCAAGCTGCTTGTTTAGGGTGCACCCTTTGCTCAAATATCTCCCATATGTTCATGTAGGACTTGGGCCCCTACATGGCCCAACTGTCTTACTTCCGAGTTCTCTTCTTAATGGAATTATAGATTCATTGTGCTGAGCATTGACTTTATCTGGGGGTTTATTTTTCTTCCTCACTTGCCCATTTTTTAAAGCTACAGATTTAAATACATAAGCTGAGAAATACATAAGTTTAAAGTTCTGTTCAGATTGCTGGTTCGCCCACTTCACACACGAGGTATATTAAGGGTTCACCTTTAGCAACAGCCCAATTAGTAATTGCCAGTACTGCTTATGAGCGGTGTGGGACTCTTAGCAGTTGCTATGAGAACCTTCACTTTTGCATTCCCTGACTCATTTTACACGAACAATGCAAATGTGAAGTGATTTGAAGGGGGGGATGATAAGATGGGGAGCTGGCAAATTAATGAAACTCTGTTCTCTCTTGGATCACTTTGAATGGTACATTCTCAGCTCATTCAGTTCTTCTACCTCTGTCCTCACAGGAGTTGGTTTTCCCTAAATCCTTAAGAAGGAAGTAAAATAGTTTGACCTTTATTTGCATCCGGCTTCAAAGCAGTTCAAGTTCAATACTTCGCAGGAAGATTGCCTTTAATGAGCCAAGTTTAGAGGAGGTGGATTTTAATCTCTTAATGTTTGGAAGGAGATGAGATGCATAGACAGTGAGAGAAAGTAAGTTTGCAGCTTTAACTATTACATTAAAACTGAATCACTCTCCCAGCAGCATTGAACAAGAAAACTGCACGGGTCTCTTTTTCTGTTGTTTTGTTTTTTGAGCAAAAAAGCGTCTCATCCACACCATGTACCTATCTGTGGAATCTTGAATTAAAAAAATAAAAATCAAAACACCCTTTCCTCAAGTAGCTCGGAAGTCATCTTCTTTTGAACTTCATCTGAGAAAGAAATTCCTGTGGCAAACCAGCTCCTTCCCCTTCTTCCAAGCACCAGCCCTGCTCAAGATTTGGCCCCAGCTCAGGGTTAAGTGTGGGTTAGATTCTCTAAAGAAGGAAAAGGTGCTTCCCTCAGCCTTTGTCAGCACTAATCACCAGCTGTGTTTAGTGCTCTATCACTTTGTTTTTTCTTTCCCTTCCCTTGTTATTTGGTGGGCCTGGTTTTATGCTGACTAGAAGATCAAGAGTGCTTACTTATCCCTCCCCTTCCCTCTCATTCCTCCTCCTCTCACTGCACTTGAAAGAAAATTAGAATGCTAGGTCAGAAATTCTTGATTTGCAGTTTGGAGCAGAAGCTCTAGGGGGCCCATAGTCACCCGGACCCACGTGTGAACTGGACAGTACTGACTACTTGTTGCTGTGGGCAGTAATGGGGGATGCTTCCCTGGCACTCGCGGGGGTTGCCTGAAAGCTCGTCACCCCCAGTGCATTCGAGCATGGTGTTTCTCAAACTTGTTCAGTAGGTCTGGAGTAGGGCCAGAGATTGGGCATTTCTAACAAGTTTCCAGGTGATGTCAATGCTGCTGTTTTGCAGACCACTCCTGAGTAGAAGGGGTCTAGACCATCTTCTGTCTCTTTTTTTTTTTTTTCCTAGACTTGGAAATTGTGAAATATCCATTGCACACACAAATCCTTAGTAGCTAAGAGACCAGATTTTGGAGCCAGTCCCCCTTTGATCTGAGTTTAGGCTCCCCCACTTCCTAGATATATGTGAAACTGCTTCTCCATTAAAAAGTAGGGATGAAAGGGTGCTATTGTGTGATCAGCAAATCGTCCCTGTTGAGGTGCGTCTTATCAGTGAGAAGCAAAACCGTTAAGTGGCCATTTTGAGCCCAAACTTGATGCATGATTTGAATTCTGTCCACTTAAATGCCATCATCTGGAGAGGCCTCAGCATTATGACATTTTAGGGCTGCACTGTACTTGGCTCTCCCTCCCATCCATGAAACTAGAACTATGGTCTTACTGTTCTGTTCCCCTTCCTCCTGCTCCAGTTAGCCATTGCTTTTTGGGAGGTCTGGGGCCCTTGGTAGAGCATCCTGGACTGGTCTATCATTATGGCCACATCTTGTGGAGTTGCAGTGGATGTTTTCTGCTTGATCCCTGTACTCAGATCCTCTATGTGGTACAGCAGAGGCAGGCAATTAACCCACCATGAAGGGCACACAAGCGATGTTTTCAGTAGTGATGGTAGTTGCCAATTAAATTTCAGATGTATATAAGAGTACGGACTTAAAATAGAGAGATTCTGCATCTAAAAAGGAATTCCTTCTAGAGAGTAAAGCTAATTTGTTTGGGACAGAATGTGGTGGTTAAAAGCGGAAGCTGGAAATGTGAGACTGAATTGGATGAAGAATGTGCCTGAGATCACGGGCCTTTCACAAATCCTGGTCCCCAGCCCTCCTTTAGTGGGTGTGGGAACCTCAGCAGATGGCTTCAGGTGTTGTTTTGTGTTACTGAAAAGCAAAAAGGCTACTTTCTCTAGCAGAGGATACTTCAGTTCTTATTTGGGCCTGCATGTTGGAAAATCCACATTTGCCACAATGAGGTAGCTAGCTTCTGTTCATCCTTCACCTCTCAGCTTTAATACCAATTTTTCCTGGAGGACTTTGCTGACTCCTGGACTAGAGTAAGCCCTTCCTCCACATTATATGATCCCAGAGTTCCCTGCAGTTCCCCTACCTTGTGCTTCTTTATATTTCTTATTAAATGTGGACCTTCTCCAGTAGGCTTTAAACTCCCTGAGTCTTTGTGTTGCTTGTCTCTGTTGTATCCCAATGCCTAACACAGTCCCTGGCACATAGTAGGCACTCAATAAATATGTGTTGAATAAGTGGAAATTTCACCTACTTCTGGAGCCATGCATTCTTCAGTGGAAAATAGGGAGCAAGAAAGTTGGATGTGTTCTTACCTACAGTTTCATCGTACAGCAGCTCTTGATCTTCATTTCTCTTGGATAACATTTCCAAGACACTCATGGGTTTTTGTTCTGTGGTCATATTTGTGGCACCAACGTGCATTTCTAAGAGTCTCTTGAGTATATTCTACCTGCAGTAACCAGGATTATACATATATAGAGATCGTCTCGGATTTCCAAAGGGGAGACCACAGCCACAGAGGGTGCAAATTGATGGAACAAGCTCAGGGAACAGAAGAAAGCCAAGTTCACTGAGAAACTATTAGCTCTGGGCTGAAAATTAAGAACTCTTAGCTTTCCTGTATTTTTTCAGACCCTGTGGCCTTAGCAGCCTCTGGGGATTCCTGAGCAGATCCGTCAGGCACCAAGGAAAGCAGCTCTGTTAGATTTTATGGCTGTTTGCCTTAGCTTTCCATGCTAGTAACTCATTTTTGACATGACAGTCTACAGCAATTCAGATTTTTCCTGAAGTTGCTTATCAAAATTGAAAGTGTCACATACCCAATATTTTGAGGCCAGTAGTTAATAGAACATTTTTATTTATGTAAATGCCTATGAAACATCTTTATCAATATAATCTTGTATGGATGGTTGTAACACAGGTAAGAAAAGCATACAGTTAGAAGAAAAGAAAGCATCTGTGATAAGCGGTTTGACTCCCTCAGGAGTTTCCTTCCCCACCCCCAGCCCCTGAGGTCTGCTCCTGGGAGCAGAGGACCATGTGCTAGAATGCTCTCTTCCATTCTGTTGAACTTTTACTCCCTCCTAATTCCCACCCACCCACACTTCTCATTCAGAGATTCCTCTTCCAGTCTCTTGTAGTTTCTATCCCATTTTCTCTTTATTTATCCTAGTTACCTTTATTTTTCCTGCCCCTAATTTTTTTTTCTCTCCCTCTTCCCTCTGTAGGAAACAGGGCAGGTGGAAGGTAAATATTTCCTTTGTGGGGCTTATGAACCAGTGCCTGTGCTCAGTATTTTACATGGATTACTCATTTCATCTCCCTTAACTCTCTCAATCTGCTCTTTATTTAATTTGTTATCATAATGATAGTGTTTGGGACAGTAAAAGAAATATCAAGGAAAAGTTTTAAATGCTTTGAATCAAATGAAATTTTTTCCTCCTCCCATCAGTGAATCCTTTTCACTTAGATTTGAAACTATTGGAAAACAAGTCTTGTTAATTTCCATTTATTCAGAGGCTGCTTATCCAATTTGGCAATTATCACTTCCTTCTCTGCTCTCTCCTGCTGTTACTCTTATCTTAGCCTTTTCACTGTTCCTCCTCCACCATTGCGAAGGAGAGGGGAAAGGAAAAATTTAAACAGTAAGTGTTGCTACTTATTTTTAATTAGATTATTGTGAGACAATATGTAAAAGCTGACAACAATTAGGTTTGGGAAATTGGATTGACTTTTTAAAATTCACTCTCTTTTAAGTACCTCTTGGTTTTGTGGGCAAAGGTAGATTGGCTGATTGACGTAGATGAGAAAGTACAGAGGGCACCTACCTAGGTGAGTGCCTCTCGATGGACTGAGTCTGGCAGAACCTGTCTTCCTTCCCTCCCTTAAACAATTATTTATTGAATGTACACTGTGTTCCGGGGACACAGCAGTGAACAGACAAAAGCCACCTTAATGAAGCTAACAGTGGGTGTTTGCATGGGGGTATAGTACTAAAGATCTGGTGTGTGGAAATGTGTATGTTCACTCCCCCCAAAACGTAGCACGTAAGCCTCAGGAGAGCAGGAGCCTTTGTTATTACCTACGTAAGTTAGAGTGTCTGTCCTTCCCTCATTTCTGCTTGATTTCTTCTTCATGATTAAACAGCGGCTCTGGTGGTCTCTTAAAACACGAGTTGAGAGAGACCCTGGAGAGATTCAGCTCATCCTTTAATCTCTTATGTCATCAGCTTTGTCTCTCTTCCACGGGAAACTCATTCTTCATCCATGTGACCATTCTCCAAGAGCTTTGTATTTGTGTTGGCAGAAGTTAGGATCTGGAGAGCAATACTTCTTATGGATTAATTGCCAAAGTAATTATATTGTAAAATAATACACATGATTGATAGTTAATTTATCCCTCTCCAGGGAGCTGGAGAGCTTCATTGATTTGAAGAGATGAGCCAGTTGCTTGTTTAGGAGTAGAGCTTTGTATGAAAAGCCAAACTGATGGCCTGGCCTTAAAGGCAGGAGCAGATGATGGGAGGTGGTTAAAGGATAACCACCACAATCATAAAGGGTGTTTTACCAAGAAGGAGCCCACCTGTTACACTCAAGAAATCGTACATCTCAGGAGGTAATAGGCAGTAGAGGGTAGGAGAAGAGGTAGCAAGTTCTCTTGTTCGGAAAGAGGAAGAGAATGAGCCGTCCCTAGTATCTGCAGTGGGATCGTGCTGATAAAGAATCTCCTCCCCTGCCCTCCTGCCACCAGTTTGAAGGATACTGGCTTCAGAGTGGCAGCTCTGTGAAGTCTCTCCCTCTCCTTTCTCGTTGAGCAGGGCACACAACCTCTCCGCGTGGGTGACGTCCACATAACCAGAATGCCTTATTTATTTTGGGTCCAGAAGCTTGCGTAATGTGCCTGTTTAGCACCCTCCTAAAAGTGCTTTTCAGCACATGAGCAAGTAAGGAAGCCCACTAAATCCTGCCTTTTCTGGGCACAGTGGGCTGTTTAAGGTTGTTCCTGCCACTGTGTATTTATGGACAAGAGCTAGAGTTATGACATTTATCTCTGTTGCTTAGGGCACTGATATATATTTGCCTGCATCTCCCATGGAGAGCTGCACCTTATCTTTAGCGAGAGCAATGAGAGCATACCCATAACTCATCCTGCCCAGGCACTGGGACTATCAATGTGGGAAGCCACTTCACCCCCTGCCAGTGGAGGGGTGGGGAGGATGGCACATGATTATACATACGGGGGATACATTGGTGGAAAATCATCTAGGATTTAAAACAGGAGAGAAAAGAACACAACTCCTAATGACATGTTCTCCCTCCTTTTTTTTTTTTTTTAACTATATAGATTGGCTTTTAAAAGTTTGGTTTCTTTTTCTTTCTGTTTTTTTGTTTTAAAGAAATATACAGTTACTAATAAATATGTGGAAATAGTCAGAAAAATTAAAAATGATTAATCACTGATACTTCCATCATCCAAATGATCTCCAACATTTGCATGTGACTCCTTTCCTGTTCTGTTCTCAACCCATTCCCTGCCCGCTTGGAGAGGCAGGAAAGACCTGTTTGATCTCCAAATCTTAGGCAAGGGCACTCAGTAACTTGGATTACCTTGTCTGTTTCTCTCCCCTTAAAATATAGGGCTCGTAAATTTAAGGAGATTAAAAATAGAAAACCGAATGGAGAGAGAGCTGGGTAAAAGACAGGCTGAGTTCCATTGTTATATTGTCCTTGGTACTGGCCCTTGAAATTTGTGGTTGAGCAGAAGTTTAGGGTTCCTTTTGAACTTCTGAGACGGAGCCTTTTAGGGACTGGCACCTGCCCCATTTCTTGGGCATAGTATCAGAGATCCATAGTGTTTCTAGAGTCAGTTTATTTTAATCTTCCTTCCCAGACAGGATCCCCGTCTCCTAACGAGTCTTCCTGTTTCCTAACGAGTCTTCCTGTTTCTGTTCTCGTGACCCTTCTGGTCTGTCTTCCATGTAGCATAGAGACCTTATAAATGCACATCTGCTCATGTCATTCCCCTTCTTATAATCTCAGTGGTTCCTTTGCCTTCAGAAAAAGGCATTCTGGCCTTGCATGATCTGAGCCCTGTCCATCTTGATAGCTTCGCCACCCTACACCCCCACCAAGCCCTCTTTCTTAGCAGAAGCACTTGAAGTATCTAGAACCAGCCATGCTGGCCTCAGGGATTTTACACATTCTGCTCTCAGGTTAGAGTGCCTGGCCCCTTTTCTCTTTCCATCACCATCCTTGTTTCTTGTTTATCTCTATATGCCCAGTCCTTAGTCCGCTGCCTGGCATGGAGCAGGTATGCGGTCCATGGATGCTGAATGAATGGAGCAGTCTGCAAAGATGTTCATACAGTAATCACTTACCAGCTATCTGCTACCGTTTCCTTCCTCCATGGCTATGTGTGCCCTGAAATCCAGAGCCCAGGTCCCCCACTGTGTGCACTAGAACTATGGAAGATATATCAGATGGCATCCATAGGAGTGACAAGTCCATGTTGGGGAGGATGGTGTACTTGTTAAATCAGATTAAATTGTCAAGGCAGTGAGGTGAGGATGAGGTTACTGAACGTTTGTAGAAGTTCCTGTGAGAAAGAGTGATTAGGAGATGCTCTGTGGAGGGCCTGGAGCTTCTGCAGACTCCTCCTGAGGGCTGTTTCCTGGTCTGCCAGTGATTATACTGGCCTACTGCTGAGTTCCAGGGACAACAAACCACAATTTAGAACAAATCATCTCATCATCCTAGGCCTGAGCCCTGCAGTTTCGGCACTTTGATGATGTGTTTGTATGTATATGCATGCGTGTGCGTGCATTTCATGCTATCTTCTCCCTGGCACCCTCTATCTCCCTTACTTTATTTTACTGCATATCACTCATCACCTTCTATCATGCTATACAGTTTACTTGTTTATCTTTTCCTTCTACTCAAAATATAAGGTCCATGAAGGTGGAGATTCTTATCTGCTTCATTTACTACCATAGAATGAAACCTAGCCCCTAGAACATTGCTCAGTTCATAGTGGGCCTTTAATCAATAACCATTTCCCTAAAAAAGGAAATCCTGTCTGAGAGGCTATATAGAAACCTAGCATTTATCAGTCAGCTATTGATTGTTTTGTGGCCAGGGGACCTGTAAAATATTAAAATACATGATCCTGTAGCCTTATCCTCAGCTCCTCAAGAAAGTCCAAGTACAGTTTTTCTTCAAAAGTATCTTGCCATGTTGTCCCTGCTGCTTCTGAGCCAAGGGAATAGAGAGGTGCTGATGCCACCACAGTGGCATCATGTTTACAGCCAGTGGTAATGCACTAACTACTGTCCTCTGCTGCCAAGGTTCTCAGCATCCTGACTGAAACTTGTCTTGGTGGAGCCCAGTCCTTCTGAGGCACTGGACCTGTGGAGGTGGTAGCCGGTTAGATGGCCGTATCATTGTGAGAGAGCCTTT